GTTAAAAGTTGCTTTAATATTTAATTAAGCATGTGGATTAATATTTTGCTAGCCAAACCGAGAATAGGGCATTATATGAATTATACATGAATATATAATTAGTGTTAATTGTTTTATTATAATGTACTTGATTAATTATTAAATGTGTTGTTAGTAAATTAGTATTTAGGACTGACTCATGTAGTTTCTAATAATAAAGATACGTGAAAAATTTAGAGAAACATATGTAATTTAAATATTAATAATTATCTATCATAGGCCTCTCCCATAAGGTGGACAAAAGCCCACCTTATGGGAGAGGCCTATAGTTCAGCAGTGGACAGTCAATGGTTGTTTTGATGATGACGATGATGTTATATACGTACCTATATACAATTAATATTAAGTTGCTTATGTAAATATTCATTGCAGACTTTTTTCAATTAGTTTAGGTTTATACGAAATTATTTAAGTGTATTTTAATGAATTGGCCGTCTGGTCCCGGCATAGAATAAGCCACTCTTTCTTTTTCCATGTATGTTGTAAGGCGACTAAAGTAGGGCGAGGGATGGGCAGCAGCGTTCCTTATAAACATATCTAAAGCCTAACTGCGGTTGCAAATCCACCTGTCAAGCATGACAACTACTGGCAAGACCCCCCAAAGGGAAGGTTTATGTTCAGCAGTGGATAGTTAAAGGCTGATGTGATGATGATGATGATATTAATAAATATATATTATACTAGTGATCAGACTCGACTTCGCATGGGTAGACAGAGTATTTGAAAATAATATATACCCTACGTTTCCTGTTGATAATGTGGCTGTTTATAGGTGAAGTTTTTTTTTAAATCTATTAAGTAGTTTTTAAGTTTATCCATAATCAACAAACAGACAAACAAATCTTTTCTCTTTATGTCATTAGTAAAGATACGTTTAATTATTTACATACATATGTATGTATATACGTCACGTCTGTTTCCCATTGGGGTAGGCAGAAATATTGAACTAAATTACATAAAAAAATTTCGTCGTATATATATTTAAGTAGCCTTTATTAATAAAATATTATATTTCATCATTTTCTTTATAAGTCCCAATTTACTTACTTAATTAAAAGGAACGAAACAAGAAAATAAGGGATTTTATACATTTTTTCCTGCCAAAGACAATAAAGAGCTACCTCGAGCTCTTTTATCGAAGGGCCTAACTAATTACAAGGCTCGTGTTATAAACGTTATAAACAATTAATTAATTAAAGATTGAATTACTTGTATGGTGAGTTTAAGATACTATTAAAATTATAGATACTGACCTAATAAATATATCGTCATAGTTGTAGAATATTGACGGATCTGACAAATATTACATATAAAGATCCGTCAGTATTCTACGACTATGACGGTACAGTACTATTTTTACATACGACTGTGGCTACATATATATATATATATATATATATATATATATATATATATATATATATATATATATATATATATATATATATATATATATATATATATATATACATATACAACTTAGAATGGCAAACAAGCTGACGACCTGGACGTGGACATAACAGAGTATACTGTTTCGCCCATGATATCTCCCATGCGTTGCCATTCCTGAGGACTCAGGTGTTATTCCTCTGTACCCTGTAAATTCACGCCATATCCCACCCTTCAAATCGAAACACAGCCATGCAAACACAACTGCTTCACGGTTGAAACACGAATGGGACAGAGGTACCCAAGCAAACGACTTTTGTACAAAGTCTCCAGTTTGCCAGTAGTTGCCACGCTTGGCAGGCGGGTTGGCAACCGCAGTTAGGCTTTAAAAATGTTTTAAGATGGACGCTGCTGCCCATCCCTCACCCTCCCTTAGTCGATTCTAACGACACCGACGGGAAAGGAAGGATAGACCACTCCTTCCTTCGTTTTATGCCGGAACCATACGGCAAAGACTTTGCAGAGTTTCGGAATAAACACACGTAAACAAGATATATAGATATATGTAGACAGACAAAATTTCTAAAATTGTTGTTTTGACTTTTATTGTCAAAGTTTCATAATATTAGTAAATGACTGTTTGTTCGCTACTTCGTACACGTGAATTTCAGAAGCAGGAAAAGAAATGAAATGGGCCACATTTAGATATTATATCACAACACACACTAGATTTTAAAATAGACCTTCACGAATACAACTGTGAAAATTGCATCCAATTTGGTGCAGTAGTTTTTGAGTGATAACGGAACAAACAAACAGATTTCTAAAACAATTTTTTTTTTAAATTATTGCTTGGGAATTTATTGATCTTATTAAGACCCCTTATATTAATTTTTCTTAAATATCTCCCTTGTATAGACATTGTCTATTTGGCTACATTAAGTTACCAGTAAGATTAGGAAGAAGAAGAAGACTAGTAAGGAAAGAATGATAGGTACCAGAGGGAGACTTTGTACAAAAGTCGTTTGTTTGGGCACCACTGTCCCATTCTTGTTTCAACCGTGAAGCAATGTGTTTGCAGGGCTGTGTTTCGATTTGAAGAGTGGGATGTGGCAGTGATTTTACAGGGTATAGAGGAATAACACCTGAGTCCTTAGGAATGGCAATGCATGGGGGGTATCATGGGCGGAACAGTATACTCTGTTATGTCCATGATACTGTTCATGTCTACAGGCGACGGTTACTATTTTCCATCAGGTGTAGGCCGTCAGCTTGTTTGCTATTCTAAGTTGCATAAAATAAAGCTGTGAATGATTGTAGCATTGTAGCTTCTTTTTTCTTTTAGCAATACGAAGTTTGTAATAGTCAGTCAGTAAATTCTTATTTGAAAAAAAAAGCAACAGTTGTGTTTCTTGCCCGTTGTTCTCAGCTGAAATTGCAAAAACTGGGCGATAGACTTATAAATAAATGACCATTCGAAAATGTTTATAATTAAGTTTACTTTAATAAAAAATATTCTTATTTTTTTTTTATTTATTTAATGGAGCTACTTCTTAGATATAGAGTATGGATCAAAATCTTTGTTTTTTTTTCTTCTTCTAAAACTTTAGTATATGGGTGGTTTTCAAAGTTTATTAATTGAATGTCGAACTATCAAATTATCAGTGCCTTTTGTTAAAAAAAGATTGTTCAACTTAAATTTCTCTTAATTATTTGTAATTAATCTGTCAAAGTTTTATTTTTTAAAAGAATCGTTGCAAGTGTATGAAATTTAATATTAAAATATATTTTTAAATTAAAATTTTTACTTTATATTTGTTTTCTTTTGTTGTGTTAAACGCCTATTATGTAAAACTTTGTTCTAAGTTTTATCAAAGTCACAGCTATAATGGAACGTTTATTCATTCTTATGTAAGTAATATAATAAAATTGAAACAAGACGATGTCTGTACATCAGAGATATGTAAGTAAAAATAATATCAGGGATCTTAATAAAACCAATAGATGTCTAAACAATAACTTCTAAAAATTTTATCTGTCTGTTTGTTATTAACCATGTTCGCCGCACCATAACTGTTAAATTTCTAGCTTTGACTTCCACGAGACAGCCTTGTCCCTGATGTGGGGGTCATAGTTATATTGTACCATACGCTAACTTTGTTTCAGGAAATAAAGTTTATTATATTTATTATTATATTAAGTTTGTTCTAGCATCATGCAAAAATTATTGCACCAAATTGACTGCAATTTTCACAGTTGTATTTCAGAAGGTCTTGGCCTATAATAGGCCATCCCTTCATTCCTCGTGGGTTTCGTAAGAGGCGACTAAGGAAAGGCAAGGGGTGGGCAGCAGTGTCTGTCTTAAAACATCTCCAGACCCTAATTGCGGTTGTCAATCCACCTGCCAAGCGTAGCAACTACTGGCAAAACCACTCAAGGGAGACCAAACTGATATAACGATGATGATTCCAGAAGGTTTAATTTAAAAACTGGTGTATGTTTTATCATGATACTCTATCTAAATGTGGACTATTTAATTTGTTTTCCTGCTTCTGAAATCCACTTGTACGAAGTAGCGGATAAATAGCCATTTACTAATATTACTCGTATGAAACTTTCCACAATATCGTTAGCAATCGTTAGTAATCATATTTATGCCACTGAGCAGCTTCATGGCTATATTTTGATTTGAACGATGAAATATGCCGTGTGATCCCTGCATAGAATGAAATACTCCATCCTGTTCCCTGAGTGTCGTAAGAGGCGATTAAGGAAACATAACGGTCGAGGGATTGGCAGCAGCGTCTCATTAAAAACATCACCGAAGTCAAACTGCAGTTGCCAATTCGCGTAACCAAACTACTGGCGAAATCCTCCCAATGGTAATCCGTCATAAGGAATGGTCCCGTTCCTTATGACAGTCTCCGAAGGCCTATCTTCAACAGTGGACAGATAACGGCTAATATAATGATAATAATGACGAGATATGATTGTAAAATTATTTGGGTTAGAAATTAGAACATCTGTCTGTAAAATTACCAGAGTTTGAGTGATCTATAGATGTCTTAAGATATTTATGCCATATCCATGCTAATCATAAAAAAATGTCTTATATACATACATATCTGTCACGCCTGTCTCCCATTAGGGTAGGCAGAAACAATAGAACGCCAATTGCTTCGATTCAAACAAACCTCTTTCGCTTCTTCCACATTCATCAATCTTTTCATATACGCTCGCCGGTTACGGGTACTTTTAATTTAATGTCTTCTATTTTGTTTATAGAGTTACATGAAATGGAAAGTAGATAAAAGACAATGCAAGTTGTATTTTTTTGGTCTTCGAAATTTTTGTCTATGGCAATAGTAAAAACATAGGTATAATCTGTAAAAAAAAAAATGTATTTACAATATTTAATTTTGCAAAGTATCGTTCTTTTAGTTTTATGAAATATAAAAGACAATTTTTCTTTGTGTGTTCAATATGTCCCACAGCTATTCATTTCTATAAGCAATGGTTACCATTTTGAATGCGTTGGAGTGAAGAAAATAAAATATCTATACGAGTATATCATATTATTATTTATTTAAAACAAAAATATTTACAAAATTTCTTAATTTTATATCGATAGCTTAACATGCGAATGAAACCTGAAGAAGTTTAGAATAGCTATCGTTTTGCTATATATAGAGACAGTATATATTATCACAACTCGATAACAGCCAGCATGGCTTATTATGTAAGTACATTGTTTTAAAATATTTAAGTACATATTTTAATATTAATATAAAATATTAAATATAGTTTAAAAATTAAATTTGACAGTGGATTGATGAAACTTTGAAAATAAACAAAAATAAAACCACAACTTACAGTAAGCGATGGATATTTGCTAGTACAAACTAAAATTATCTTATTTATTTAAAAAAATAAAGTAAAATAAACTATTTGTATAAAAATATATTGCATCTAATTTATGGCATTATATTTTATTAACTAAAAATTCGTTTACAATTTGCACCGAAATTTCTTTTACAAAAATTTACAAAGTTACAACATGCAATATTATATCATGCATATTTTTATAAATATTAAGAGTTAACATCTGATTTCTAAATTAATCTTTCTTCTTAATCTCATAGAATCTCTTTTTCCGTACTAAATAATACATAACATATTTGAAAAGATTATTAATGTTAATTAGTAATAAAGATAATTACATACAGAAAAGAAAATTGTTCATATTAAACTTTTAAAATAAAATACATGATATTTGTAGAAATGCAATTTTCTTGTGGCGTTTTATTTAAAATGAACAAGAAATTAAAACGAAATTAAAGTAGATACTTAATTAAAAATCTGATATTAATATCTAAAAGTATTTATCAAATTGGAATGCAGAATTAATTAAAAAGTCATTCCGTTTGAAAAATTATATTCACAGATTTTTATCCTCGTATCAAAATAATTTGTAATTATAGCATTTCTACATTTATTACCAAGGTAATTAGATAGGACTCGTGTCACATATGAAATAAACATGAATCTTATAGAGTTTAAATAAATATTTCTCAACTGCGTAAATTATGAGTTAATAAAAAAAAAAAAACATTAATTAGAGTCACGTGTAAGGATGGTATGAAATGTTGAACCTTTGAATTTTAATTATACAAAATACATAACTGATCGATACAATAAATAGGTATTAGTATAGACAGTTTTTATAACAAAAATTTCTCATAACAAATTACGTGGTAGAAACAATCAATATAATCATTTGGCAATTATTCATCGTTTTGAAAGTTTTCCAACTTTATTACTCTTGACGAAAAATTGGATGGAATTTAAGAAGTTTCAGTTTTCATAGACGAATGACGAAACGTTTATTGAGATAATAGTCATAATAAGACAATCTTCAATATAAGGTTTTTAAGCAAGTATTATACTAGTGAAAATGAAGATTTTTCTCAAAGGAATACGAATATAAGTATAAAAAAGACAAGAAATTTCGCGACTACTAACATTTTATTCTTGTTTTTTAAAAAAAATTATATAGAAAGTCTTAACCTGATTAGAATTCTTTTTAGGTTACTTGCTTTAGAAACTTTAGATTTACTTTTAACATATTGTATATATTTTTTAAAGATACCAAATTAAGAACTATGACAGTCATGTTTGTATTTTCAACTAAGTAATTAATTTAATAATTCTTCGTAATATTACTTATGTAAATGTGTAAGTACACATAACAAAAATAGATGAGAAAACTATATTAATTACCAAGTGGGCATTCAACATATGCAACACTAATCAATAACCTATTACGCAGTTGAGAAAATAAAGATACGTAAATATAAGTAGTGTCATTCCAAAACATTAGTTGGCACACCAAGTAATTCACTCATAAAAATACACGAATAATAATAAATAATTAAACAAAATTACCGAGGACTACATTTTACGATGTAAAATGCCCATTTATTATTTAAATTAATTACATAATAATATTTTAAATATGCGCAACAAAAATGAATAAAATAATTCGTTTTTTTTTAATTTAAAACTTTATGTTTCGTAAATACTAATAATAATTTGTATGCTGTATTATTTACATTTTATAAATCAATTACTGTAGTCAATTATAAATTTAATAAAAAATTAAGATACTAGATGAAAATGTTTAAGTAAATAAAAATCTCATTTAAAATTTAAATTATTTTGACATTTTCACATTGATAAGTTTAGAGTATTCTGAATATTAAACATATTGTTATTTTTGAATTAATTAAAGTACATTTGCTGATACATTTTTATACAATTGTGTTTGACTTTAATATTGTATACAATTACAAATATATACAATTCTATTTATTTTTTGTTATATATATTGAAAAAAAAATGTGTATTTTCTATTTGTTAATATGCTAGTAGCATTTTTAATTATTATAAAGTAATCAAAGTGGTATTTAGTGAAAATTTAAGTAATAAAATTTTTGGCACTGTATTGAATTTACCTTAAATTTTTACTATTTGCTTTAAAAATATATGTTTAAGATTTTAGCTATATTCATAAATGACATGAAAATGCTTAAAAATATTTTGATCGCACTATTATGAAAACACTGCTTTGTTTAGAATCATTTGTGCTTAAAATTTAATTATTAAGTAAATAAAATATTAAAATTGTGATTCTGAGTAGAATGTGAAGAAGTAAATTATAAATACAATATCAGATTTAATATCTAGAATTTACAATTGAAACTGACTGTTTTGAAAAAGAAAACATGAAAAAATAAATGTTTGTTTTTACAATTAATTATTACATTCGCTTATTAGCTTTGCTCAATATAACCTATTGTATAAAAAGTATATCTATACAGGTAATAGTTATATATTAAATTTCAAAATCATTTCAAATAGAAATTACACCACGTATTTTTATTATAAAAAAAAATGTTGGTGCTGTATATTATTACACTGTTAAATTTAGATATAAGAGACATATTCACATATATAAAATGAAAATTGAGCTAAATAAACATAATATAATAAATTTACATTACACTGCTAGTATTTTCTCAATTCTGTACTGATAAAAAAAAAATAAAGATGCGTACACTAACACACTCTATAGAAAGGTTAAAATGTTTATCGGGCTCATGCATCAACGCAAAGCTGAGACTGCTGAATCTAGAATTTCGAAATTTACACATAGGTTTTATATATAGCGTAAGGAAACAATAAGAAAGGAATTACTATTATTAAATAAATAACATTTAAGAACTATTTGTCTTTAATTTGTTTTATCATAATCAGTTACATTTAAATGTTTAAATCATTTATATTAATTTACACATTTTTACTTTATTTAAACCTCGATCAATCTGTTTGATCACCAAAGAGACAAGATACGCATTAAAAAAAAAGTTAAATAAATTAACCACTCAATATATATTTTAGCTACTACAAAAGAAAATGTCTTTAACAGATGATTAAGATTTTAATCATCGTATTATGGGAGACAACTTTATTGAACAGGTGACGTTATACGTATGTATTACACGATCTAATTACCAAGGTGGAGCGAGATAGCTGGCAACTCCTTTACACCAGCAAAGATTATTTTATAATGCCTAATTAATTTCTTAAATTAATAAGACTTTAATATTTTTGCATAAGAATTTTTTTAATAATTTTAAAAATAAATAAATAATAAATTTTCGTGTTACCATAGTGTACGCAATCTTTATTTTTTTTATGTAACTTGAAAATTTGGAATGGTAAATTAGATGACGTGCCACTTAATGGAAAGTGGTAACCGTCGCCCATAAAAACGAATAGCACTATGGTCGTCACAGTATATACCGTGACGCTCACGGTACTTCTTATTCATTACCATTCCTGAGGCCTAAGCTCTTGTACCTCTACAGTAGGGGTGCTCAAACTTGAACTGTGCGCGGTCTACCTCAATATTGTTAAACTACGATCGATCGACTCTGAGAAGCTGCAAGTTTTTGTGATGCAGGATTGTCGTCTATGTGGAGAATAACGTGACATATATATTAGTTTTCCGCACAATAGGCATCTTTTTATTCAAGGTCAAGGTCGATTGAGCACCCCTGCTCTAAACTCTAAACTAAGTACTTAACTAGCATTAATAATTACTAAGATATTTACATTAATTGAACTGTATTGACTTTCTTGTTGACTCTTTGAAGAGAATCTTGAATATTCCCTTCAAGAGCACGCTTCGCATCTAACTAAGCCGACTTCATCGCAATTCATGCACTTGAGCGCGACGAATTCAGCTGTAAAATGGTTCCTGTGGAGACTCTTCTTGGAACCGTTGCAAACTCTGCAGGGGAGCAGTCTGAAGCCGCCGCACACTTGGCACGTGTTGCAGGCGTCTGGACTCTGGAAATTGTAATGGTATATTATTTTTTCTCGATGTTCACAACAGATTATTGATGTTCGCTGTGGATTTCTGTATATATTGGTTTGATGGTTGAACGGCCTAATTAGGAGATGGACTGAGAAGAAGAGAGATAGAAGAATATGATTCGGATCTGCGTGTTTTGGCTAGTGTCCTTCTAGATGATCTTCGTCTGTTTTTCAATATACAGGTGTCCTAGATTGAGGAACAGATGATTGGTGTAATTATAAATACATAAATAAATGTTTTTTTTTTATTCAAGTAAACTTAATTATTAGCATTTCTAAATAGTATTTTTTATGAATTTACGATCAACGGAATGTAATTTCATGTGAATGGATAAAATGTGCTTTTTCACAATGTTCATATGTGATAAACTGTCAATAATAAAAATTTTTATTTTTTTTAAAAAGAAAATTAACTACAAAGCTACAATCCATCACGGTATTCTTGAACAGACAAGTCGCTACTAGAAGCGCCCGTTCACGAGTATGATGGATGAGACTGCCATCGTTGTGTTCAATCACACCAATGTGAGCCACTTATATTTATTATTATATCTTTCTTTCATTGCTCTTTAGTTAAATCTGTCGATTATAAAATTAATCAACAAAATCGGTTCATCAATTAAAGTGGGTGTTTCTAAAGAATTAGTTAAAGTATTTTTTTTTCCACCGGAATAGTAGTTTGGGTCACGCGGGTAAAACCGCGAGTAATAGCTAGTCTCTACTAATATAATAAAGAGAAAAGATTTCTTTTTCTGTTCGTAATGGATAAACTTAAAAATATTTATTTGATTTTAAAAATTCTTTCACCTATAGAAAGCTACATTATCAGTGAGCAATATGAGTGACTTATGGTATTTTATTTATTAAAAAAAGTGTGCAAGTTTTTTGACCTCCATTTAAACCATGTGTTCTTTTCATTATGAGCGGAGCTCTTACTTTTTTGATTTTCACCTATCATCTCTCTTGCCACGCCAGCTTGATACGCATGACACCTACTTTCATCGTTCAATGTTCGTCGTCGTATCAAGTGTCCTAACATTTTTTCTTTTCTGACCTCAATAGTTTTTATAATTTGATTAAAAAAAACCATGCGTAGCCGGGGTGGGTCACCAGTTAATAAATTAGTATGGATGACCAACACCCAAATCGATTGCGCCATCACAACGCCCCCGGCTACGCAAACAAATCCGTTGTAACTGACGGGTGCGCCGACGCTAATATACTTGTATTTTGTTGCTATGTACAAACTTTGAGACGACACGACTCAATAAGCAGAGTGCTAAGTGAGGGATTCAGTTTGCAAACTTGACACGTTTGTTGTTTAACTAGACGTTCCCCGCGGCTTTCCACTCGTGTATCAATATATGAAGTATCAGTATGTTAAGTTAGAATACCGTATACCAAATTTCATTCAAATTTATTCGTCTGTTTAAGCGTAAGTGAGTAATAAAAAAATAAATATATTTTTTTTAACGTGCAATTGTGGTTGTACTTTTTTTTATACAACTTAGAATGGTAAACAAGCTGACGGCCCACCTGATAGAAAGACATGAGCAGTACCATGGAAATAACAGAGTATACTGTTTCACCCATGATACCCCCCATGCGTTGCCATTCCTGAGGACTCAGGTGTTATTCCTCTGTACCCAGTACATTCACGCCATATCTCACCCTTCAAACCGAAACACAGCCATGCAAACACAACTGTATATGTGTACTGTATACACATACAGTACATTTAAACGGGTACACATACACATGTGTACCCGTTTGTATTTTGTTAAGACAAGGATTGGCTGAAAATCAGCGCGCAGTTATACACGCAGCACTGGTACTCTCATAGCTGCTGCATCAGCTGAGCTAGTTTCTTTTGTCTAATATGAGACACTTCTTATATATGATATAACTGTATTTTTTTCTGGAAATAAATATATTCTATTCTCTTCTAAATATCTTTACAAACTTTTGCATATATAATAAAAAAGTAGGACTATAATATTCCTCGGAATTTTCCGGGTGATTAAAATTTATGTCAAGTATCCTGTGTGTTTGACTACTGTTGCCAACTAGCCTGTCAGGAGGGGTAGGAATTGTTAGTAATGGGGAGGTTAGTCCCCATCGTTATCAATATACCTTATCAGATCGACCTCCACGCGGTTCCCCCTGGAAACCATCGTGACTAATTTATCGTTAAATTCTTCACGATGGGCTAACTGACCTGCCTTTTTATACTCACCAATCATCTCTCACTGGTGCCCCGCTAGTGTATACCGATAGCGCAGGCGGGGTTACCATTCCATTATCATTCATAAAAAAACCAGCTTGTCAAGCATGGCAACTATTGGCAACACTGATGAGGCCATATGATGATGATGATTCTATGTGTACAAGATATATTTATGTATAAACCGAATTTCATTTAAATTGTAATAATAAACATTCAAATCTTAATAATATATTAAATAGTAACTAGACGACGTCTATTTATTATTATTATTTCAGTCATTAACTGTCCACTGCTGGACATAAGCCTTCCCCACAAATGGAGTTTTGCCAGTAGTGGCCACGCTTGGCAGGCGGGTTGGTAATCGCAGTTAGGATTTTACAGATTTTTCAAGAGGGACGCTGCTGCCTATCCCTCGACCTCTCTTAGTCGCCTCTTATAACACCCACGGGAAAGGAAGGGGTGGCCTATTCTATGCCGGGGCCCCTACGGCGACAACGTCTATATATGGGAGTTATTTAGAAAAATAATATATGAGGAGTCTTAATAAGAACAATAATAGCCAAAACAACATTTTGTCTTATGTTTGTTTTGATATCACGCAAAATGTACTGCACTAAATCTGATATGGTTTTCACAGTTATATCCCTGATGACTTAACTCAAAAACTGGTATATATTTTATAATTACGTTAAAGTGAATGCTGTGAATACCTATAATAGGCATGTGCATTAATATTGTATTGTATTTAATGTTGTTATACCTATATGTTATAATGCAATATGCTGTTGGTGTTCCTTAAATAAATAAATAAATATCATGACATGCCACCTGGAAGTAGCTTCTTTTATTAGTTTTATACTTTGAAATCCACATGTACGCAGTAGCAGGCAAATCTAGTATGCAAATAAACACGAAATTCTTTTGATGTTACGTTTTATGTAACAAATTTCTCTCGGTGAGATATGTCAATAAATAATTTTAAAGAAACTTTCACATTTATAATACCTAGCAGTATCCCGTGGCTTTGCTTATGTTAGTTGATATTATTAATACAGTTTTATTAATTTGTATCTTAGTATAATTTGTACTATTCGAGGTAAGGTTACTAGTGACTTGTAATTCAGGGTTTTTTAATGGATGATAATGGAATGGTAGCCATGCAGGGGAACCAGTGAAGGATGATAAGTGAGGATGAAGTAGGTCAGTTAGACCATCGTGACGAATTCAACAAGAATTGTTCACGATGTTTTCCAGGGGGAACCACGTGAAGGTCAAGCTAATAAGGCATGTTGCTTGTAATGGGGCTGTCAAACTCCATTGCTAACAATCCCTTCCCCCCTGTAATACAGGGTTAACACCTACAAATAATATTGTTAAAGTATACTGTATGTTACAAATAATATTGTTAAAAAAAAATATACTGTATTTTTTTGTTATAGGTAGTAAGTTCGATGTTAATATGATTGTGATGAAAATAATAATACGTTTAATGTGAACAAAAACTGTGCTTTTATACAATTGGTCTTATTTTTTTTTTCATGAGAAATCTTCAAAATTTTTAGTTATTATCATTCCAAAAATTCTTCAACTATTTCAGTATGATTATGTAATAAATATCCAATTTTTTTATGCAATTTAGATAGAACAAACAAGCTGACAGTCCACCTGATGGAAATCGGAAACCGTCGCCTATAGACATGAACAGTACCATGGACAAAACAGAGTATATTGTTAGGCCATTATACTCCCAAATGTTTAAACATTGAAATATAAATATTTATAATGAGAAGTTATCTTTGTCCTTCTGAGTATATTACACATATGTTATTTCCATAAAGACTGGTCGACCCTCTAAGGCGTCAAGAGGTTACAATTATAAAATAAACAAACTCACTTTTAAATTTATAGTAAGTAAATAAGTATTAAGTAAGTATTATAAGAATCTTTTGTACTTATATTTTCGTCGGTTATCATGGCTGTTACTTTAGGTATTAACTAACTGCAAATAAAAAGAGTTTCTTAATATGACTGTTTTTTTAGTAAATTTAAAATGGCGGAGGTTTTATTTCGCCTTTTGTAATGTTAAGGCAAACCTATAAAGTATGATAATTACATACATACATACAAGTATGTGTCACGTGTTTCCTGTTAGGGTAAATGAAAACAATCCACCCCTGAGACGATAATTCTAATGGCGAAATGTATTTTATGGAGTAAGTAGATTTTTCAACCGTCTTCAAAAAAGGAGGAAATTCTCAATTTGGTTGTAAAGTTTTATTTGTTACCTCATAACTGCGTATAAGTATAACATATTCATTTCATCTATTTTTTTTGCTGATTTGGTAAATTATATTTATCTAAAAGAATATTGTTGCAGATTCAATTTAATATGAAGCTGAAGAAGAATAAGCTCTTTTCATTATTGCGCGTACTGGCCACATATACTTTTTTACTATTAAAAATGTAATGCATTCTGTCGATTCTATTCAAATTTAGTAAAATGGATGTTGAAAACATAATATGTATTTTATTTATCTTGTCGTCCTTATATAATAGTTTAGCCGCATTTCGCAGTTTTCAACAAATATACTTTTATATTAGTCCTATTGAAATTTTAACAAAATTTATTTAGAAGTGCAGATTTTTTTTATACAACTTAGAATGGCAAAAAGCTGACGGTACCTCTGTCTCATTCGTATTTCTACCGTGAAGTAGTTGTGTTTGCATGGCTGTGTTTCGGTTTGAAGGGTGGGATATGGCGTGAATTTACAGGGTACAGAGGAATAACACCTGAGTCCTCAGGAATAGCAACGCATGTGGGGTATCATGGGTGAAACAGTATACTCTGTTATGCCCATGGTACTGCTCATGTACATAGGTTACCACTTACCATGAGGTGGGCCGTCAGCTTGTTTGCCATTCTAAGTTGTATAAAAAAAAATCTAGTAGGGGGTTGTCTTACACTGTATTTGCTTGTACGGGGTCACCACTCAAGAACTTTTCTTTCAATTATTGGTATATTCTCTTGAACAATCATCGACATCAAATACTGGCAATAAAATACAAAAAAAATAATATCTCTCAAAGAAAAAATTCATTTGTGAATTTTTATATAATCAAGTACAAAGTTATTTACCTGGTATGGTTTGAGCATTTTCCGCAATTCGCCGCTCTCGTTCAATTTTTCCACTGTGTCCGCGTCCTGAAAGAAAAATATTTATTTATTTAGTTTTTTTTTATTAAATAATCAAACGATTTCAATTTTCTATCGTTCGTATAATGAAATATAAAGTTTACGAGAAAAATTTACATTACGACTTCCGTACGTTTAAGTTTTCGTTTTATTACTCTACGGTTAAAGAAAAAAGGTTGTTACATTTATTTATGACTAGCGTCCTGGTTTCATCCGGGTACAGAGAAGATTTTACTCACTCACAATTTAGCTTTTTATCGTTGAATTTTTTGAGGTTATTGATTATAAACAAAACATCTTTTCCATTTGTAATATAAATTTAAACTAGACTTTATTCAATAAAAATTTGATTCATTTATATTATTATTGTAAAGAGAAAAGATTTAATATTTTTTACATGTTTAATTATTTGTTTGCAATGGATAAACTTAAAAACTACTTAACGGATTTTAAAAATTCTTTCATTTATAGAAAGCTAAATTATTAGTAAACAATTAAAACTATATATTATAAAAAAAACTGAGAATTCTACGTAAATTACAATAAAGTAACAAAAAGTATTAAAAATTTTCTTATTAAAGTTAATATAAAATATTAATATATACTTCAATCTATCTAGCTATGTGAATCCGGAGTGGATCGTCAGTATATCGTAATATTAAAATCTTGCGATATCGTGCCGTGTCGTATCACGATAAATTATAAAAGCACCGAAAGCCAAACAAGACCGTTTCTTATTTTGTAGTACTGAAAATTCAATATCGTATAACGACGTGATTCTAACAAATAGTACGAAGCAAGAAAACACGTGAAATGAAACAAGATAAGAATTTAATAGAAAACCATGTGAGAAAATACTGGAGGTGTTATTGTTATGGCGTTTTCACTATTTGTTCGATTCCGTCATATTTACATTACTAGGAAATGGACGTTCCATTGTAAGCATTACAATCGTATAAAGAATACTTCGGTTATCTAAACCAATATAATAAAAGGAAAGATTTTATTGTTTAAAGTTACGTTAGTACACAACATATTTTACTGGGAAGGAAAGGGATTGTTAGTAATGGAAACTGAGAATCCCATTGCTAACAATATACCCAACCAGATCGACCTCCTCGCGGTTCTCCATGGAAACTATCATGGTTAATTCCTGATGAATTCATCATGATGGGCTAACTGGCCTGTTTTCATTCTCATCTATCACCCTTCACTGGTGCTTCGCCAGCGTATCCCGTTAGCGCAGACGGAGTTACCGTTACCATACCATTTTTACCCATAAAAAAAAAAACATATTTTACTATAATAAAATATATAGACAACAGTATACTTGTAGATCCATATTCCGAAACGGCAAAATCATTGATTGCTTTATTTTTGTATCGATGGTTTCCTCCATTATAATATGTGAAATAATTAATTAAGGTATGATGGGGCTGATTCTTGGGGATATCCTTACAGGATAAAAGTCTTGAAATAAAGAAGATAAAAAGAAGGTTTAATGTATTGGCATTCAGACTTCAGTTATGATTTTGCATATCAATCATTGGATTTAGCTACAAGTATAGGTACTTAAAAATAATCCAATATCTTGTCTCTTTAGATTATGTATCTATATCAAGGCTTCTCTTTCAGTTTTGTATTTTTTTTTCATTCGGATATCATCATCCAGTGTTTTAAATACACATTTGGGACTTAACGCGATGTAAAAGTCTTTACAGGTAAATAGTACCTACATACTTGCTACTCTATTGCCGACGTTTCGACGTGGATTGCACCACGTAGTGACCACGACAGGACGACTGTAAAGGCTTTTACATCGTTAAGTCTCGGTTGTGTTTTTTTTTATGCAACTTAGAATGGCAAACAAGTTGACGGCCCACCTGATGGAAAGTGGTAACTATCGTCTATAGACATGAGAAGTACCATGAACATAACAGAGTATACTGTTTCGCACATGATACTCCTCATGCGTTGCCATTCCTGAGGACTCGGATGTTACTCCTTTGTACCCTGTAAATTTACTGCCATATCCTACCCTTCAAACCGAAATACAGCCATGCAAACATAACTGTATATGTGTCTTGCCTTGTCTGTATCTTGTCGTGCGTACTTCACGGTAATGGTAAAACACGAATGGGATAAAGGTGCCCAAGCAAATAACTTTTGTACAAAATCTCCCTCTGGTAAATTTGTATTGAAAATATGTGTAAACAACGCGAAAGTTTAAAATTAACTATCATACAGTGTGTTACAAATATCATAATTTGGGTTATTAACTTTTTTCGGCATTAGATTTGTAACACATAATTTAATTAATATGTTGACAGCAATTATAAGACAATTGCTTTATACACTTAATTAATTTCTATGATTGAACATTGAGTAGACACGTAAGGGGCTTCAGTGACAATTTCATTTGTTGTCGTCAATTGTTAATTAAACAAAGAGAATGTAATGATTAGAAATACCAGGGATCTCTCTTGTATTAGGGTATTATATTTATAATTGAAATTTTTGCCTAGTAACCGTATACCAATATTGTTTTTAAGTGACTATCGATAAAAGGAAGTATTTTTATAAAATATAAATTACGCAATAGAATTATTTCTGAATTCTTTTGTCTTTATTTTTCTTTTTGTTTTTATTTATATTACGTGGGTCTCTTTGCAAATTTTATAGATTTTGGCAATTTTTTTCACAATCGACAGTGTCTCAGTGACAACTCACAATTTTTTTGTGACGTTAAATTTTAAATTGTTTTTTGTTTTTAAAGTTCCCTGTCTCAGAAGGCAAAAATCGAAACCTTGTAGGATTAGTTTAGTGTCTATCTGTCCGTTCGTTTGTCACAGCAAGTAAGTTCCGAAACTACATACATAAAAACTACAACATAAATAAAAAAAATGTTTAAAAAGCGACTATTACACAGTAAATATACACACACATCGATGAACGACGAGACGATATATAAGTAACTTGTATATAGTAAATATTTAAATTAAGAATGCGTGTGTTAATAAATTTTATTTAAAATTTTTGCACGTAAATTTCGCTTCACATAAAAAAGAGTTTGCTCCAGTAAAATATGGCAGCTTCAATCGATCAAAACGGGACATTTGATTATGTAATAAATGTTTAAACACAACTCAGAATTGATGACGTCATCGTGTAATATAATGAAAAAACTTCAGGCAAATCGAGAACTTCCTTCCTTTCGAAAGTCACTTACAAATTGGTAATGAAGGATTTCACATTATCAAAACCTTGACATTAATTATGATGGAACTAATTTGGAATCCTTGACTGGAAACATTTCAAAAGGGACCGCTAATGAAGATGTGAAGTAACTCATACATATAAAAAACACACATACAATCTTTTAGAATCGCGTGTTTGTAAAACAAAACAAACAAGCCAACTATGTATTGAGACATTCTTTCTCATGCAGCGATCTGTCTAATACGAATTACGACTTTACGATTTACAACTTAAAATTCAAAATGCTAATGAGAACCGTTCCCACTAATTTGCATTTCGCGCCTATATTTGCTTAGCGTGTGGACAATTTTGCTAAATTAGCTTGACCTTTACTAGTTCAACAGTATTGCTTGATTAGTAATTCGTAACGGTTCTTTTTCAAAACGCCTATATGTGCCACTTGCGTAAGATATTTTTAAGCAACTGAGGATAGGAAGGTGGAATAAGGAAATTAAAATTAATATTTTCAAACAACTTCATAAAAAGGGAAGGTTCTCTCAATTCGGTTATGTTTTTTTTTTTAATGTTTGTTATCTCATACCTCAATCGAATTGGAAAATTATTTTTATATACAATTTGGTTCCATAGGAACATTATCAAAATCAATTCAGTAGTTTATTTTTTGAAAGAATGATGCTGGAGGCATTCGAAATGTGGACATGGAGGAGAATGGAAAGGATAAGCTGGACAGAAAAACTAACGAACGAGGAAGTCCTAAAAAGAGTGAACGAAAAGAGAATATTGGTTGAAATAATAAAGAATAGAAGAGGCAAAATGCTGGGCCACCTTATACGACATGACGATTTTTTTAAGAGCATAGTAGAAGGAAAGATAGAGGGCAAAAGAGGAAGAGAAAGACCGATAATTTACTACATGGGATAGATAAAGGAAACACTAGGCGTCATGTCGTATAGGGAGATAATGGATATGGCCTGGGATAGAGCTGGCTGGAGGAAGATGCATGAATTAGTTGCACCGACAAGAGGAAACTCTTAAATAAAAAGAAGAAGAGTTTATTTTTTAATTAAAATTACTAGTTTTGCAATAACTGAAGTCAGTTTTTCTTGTAGAAACAATTAATTTATATTTATGAAGTACGAAACGTTAACATTTATTTTGGATTGGATTTCTTATCTACATTGTAACTCAGTACGTGATAGACTATTGTTAATACTCCAAGCAAATTTAAATCTCGGCATCGTTCATTTGTTTCTAAATTTAAATGGTTCGAATGTAATACAAAAGAAACTTTGCCAAAGTCGTCGCTTTCGGGTATCACTTTAGTAACGCAAACTTCCTAAAATTTGCTACTTATTCTGTTGCTAATGCAAATTAATATTGCTCGTTATTTAATAAATATACCTTATAGCTGCTATTCAAATTATCTAGTCAAACAAGGTTATTTAATTAAATTTCATAAAGTTCATGAATAATCAAAGTTTCACTCTTCATTAGCGCTTTATGTAAGAAATAGCTGCGATGACGTGATACCTTTGGTGTTTTCGAAATTAATTTAATCTATTTTTTTTTTAATTCCAATTATTATTTAAAATGAGAGAGAAAGAAAGACCTAAAGAGACCTAAAGCTTACCAGAGGGAAACTTTGTATAGAAGTCATTTTTGTGGATACCTCTGTCCCATTCGTGTTTTTGCGGTGAAATAGTTGAGTCTCTCAATACAGACTGTCTACACAGCAATGTGTGTTTCAGTTTGAAGGGTGGGATATGGCAATAAAATTACAAGGTACAGAG